GTCAAGTCAAGGTCCCTTTCCTCACGTCTGTTGGCTATTAGAACCAAGTGCCACAGATAAATGTGTCTGCCCGAGACTTGTCTTCTATATGGCAGATGGGGCTCCCAAGGGCAGCTGGCACCTGGGACCACAAGCCTAGTGCTCGACCATGCCATTAGCTGCACTGGTCTGGATGTACACAGCTACAAGGTAAATGGTTCTCAGGGGGAGGAAGGCTTTGGGGCAGGGGGGATTTTAGATGAAGTTACTGAAGTCAAGTGACTGGACAGGGGACAAGCACGATGGCCATGCCTCGCTCACTGGTAGTCACTTACGCTTCTCCAGCTGGAAGAGAGGTAGAGCTGGCAGGAAGGGACTCGGATGAAGGCTTCTCCGCTGAAGGGGCTTCAGGGAGCTTAATCTCCTCAGGGGGAGTGAACATGCCTGAGACATTGAAATCTATCGCTAAATAAAGCAAAACACAAATTAACATGCTGAAGAAGCTTCCTCTGCACCAGTTGTCCTCAGGCTGGGAGCAAAGGCACCTCTCAGAGCATGAGGGATTGACCCACAGGTGTCTGGCTCCAGTAGGCTTTGGAGGCCCCCTGTAAGGTCCTCCAGTAGGCCCCTTGACTCCAGTAGGCTTTGGAGCGAGTACTGGTGGAGAACAAACCAACCTGCAGAGCTGGAGCACCTGCCACAGTCACTGCAGATGGGGCTCTCAAGGGGTTTCTCTCTGCCCTTGGCTGCCAGATTCTGAACAGTGCCTCAGATTCCACAGGGTACCTAGGGATCTCCTAGCCCCCAAGGTGTGGAGTGGGATTCCCACTGTATGCCGTCAGGAATTTGAGGACTAGTGATCTATTGCCTTGCTTTACATGCTTCCTCATGCTCTTGCCTTGCAGCTGCTAGTAGCTGAGGAGGAAAAAGACCTGGACAGGACTTCCCTCCTGGCCTCTCTGGGTCAGAGTCTCACCCCTTCTCATCTCATACACAGGTGTGCCATATCTGAGTCTGCAGGTTGCTCAGTCACAACACCTGGCCATGTCTCTGACCTCACTGGCCTTGATCCAAAGAAAACTGGAGCCTGGCCTGCAGTACAGATGGGCTACCCCTTACCCCCAGGGAAGAGGCTGTCAGCATTCTGTATCAGGGCTTCCACAACTCCCACCACCTGGATGGAGGACACGGAGGCCAGGTCTAGTTGCAGTGGGTCTCTAGACAGGATGGGAGAGAGAAATAAAAAAAAAAAGCCATTAGGAGTGTTGTAAAATAGGAAACGGAGATATACAATTAGTGCAGCTGCTGTCCCGGCAGTTTACTGGTCCTTGAAACCAGATTATATGACTGTCTGCCTGCCTTCTAAATATGGTACCTCTTTGGAGAGAAATCCTGGGGGACACAAGGATTAACTCCTTTTATGCTTGCTGTTAGTGAGGAGAGAGGTTCAAAGCAGAAGGCACAGCTGTATGGACCAGTGCCAGGGAGGGAGCGCACTGCCCTTTTATCTCTAGTAGCCTGGATTCAAACTCTGCCTTGTGTCATGCATGCCATGAGTGTGCTGGGTCTCAGCCTGTCCTCAGGAAACATTTCCTCCCTTTTGCAAAATGCTGCCATATAGCAGCAGAATTATGGGGTCAGGAAGAGTGTATCACTGGAGTAGGTCAGGACTGAGATGAACTGGCTGACCTATGTGACAGGGATACTGGAAGGAGGTAGAATAATTTGGGTGGAGCCACACCAGGGTTGAGGGGTATTGGTGGTGTGAATGGTGGCACAAGCTAGGAGGTAGGTGAATTAATTGAATACTGAGGTGCACTGGTAGAGCCAGGCAGGATGCCTAGGAGTGGACTGGCAGTACATGCTATAGGTTTGGGGAACAGTGCATTAAGGGAGTAGTGTTTAAGAGCAATGCCATAGGGGCCTGGACAGTCAGTACTAACAAGACCCTCTTAAAGGAAGTGCTCCAACTGTATCTGCTTGGTCAGCAAACACTAGCCAGGGCTTGTGATGAAAGGAGGCAAACACTCAAGTACAATGGTGGAGAGGAGGGTCCCATCCCAGAACAGATACCCTGGGAAGCCCATGTATTACCCTGTGTTCTGTTGTGACCACAGCAGGTTGGGCCCCAGAACGATGGCGATGTTGCTAGGGCTCATTTTATTCACTTCCTGATGTTCAGCCAGCTTAGCTAAAAACTTGATCAAATACCTGTTGGAAAAAGGAGGCAGTGAACAGTAGGAGACCACAGTCCCATGGCACCTAGAGAGTTAGTACTCTGCATGGCCACATGGAGATGGGGGAGCTGAGACTACCATCTGGGCCTCTCCCCATCAGACAACGCAGAGCTGGTAGGAGTATGGAGGGCAGGGCCCGAGTCCCAGATGTACACTTTGCACTGCAATGAGGAGGCAAGAATTCCCTCCTTGGTCCCTCTCCTGCAGTGATGAGTAGAGGGCACAGTGAAGGCTGGTCCCCCTTGTCTAAGGGATTTGTTTTGTGAACACCACTGCCTAAGATTTCCTGTCCTGGTCTCTTGCTGCTTGAGAGTTATGCAGGAGTCATGGTCTGGGTGTTTTGGGAGGGGACCATTCTCTGCCTGTAGCACTCCCACAGCCTGGGTGGTGGGCATAGTACAAAGCCAAGATGCACTGATCCTTGTGCCAGACCTCAAGTTGTTGTAGCTGTCCTGGGGGAGCTGGCTGCAGGTGTCTCGGAGGCTCTGCACACGCTCCTCAGGCTCTTTGAAGCTGAAACAGAGGAGAGGGGAAAGGAGACAGTTTGTCTTGTATTTTGCATGGAAGGATGGAAGGAGGAGGGAGGCAACAGACGAAGAGAGGTGAAAGCTCCCAACCCTTCCCCATGTTGAGGCAGGCTGAAGCATGGCTGTTGGACTTGCTGGGAGGAGAGGGCCAAATGTTATGACAAAGGAGGGCCTGTAGGTTGGATACAAATCCAGGACAGTACCCTCCCCCTCACCCAAATGGACTGCTCACAGATGCCAGCAGAGGAACAGTGCAGGGATCAAAGGGGAGACTATCAGCTTTGAACTCTTTCCTTTCCCTGTTCTTGTGAGTCTCCTCTGGTCTTTCCTGTGTTTTTAATTTGGATAGCACCTCTCAGGCTCAACCCAGCATGCTCCAGTCCCACTCTCATTCCACCCCCTGCAATAACAGCAATTGAACAGTTGTATGCTGATACTGGAGTCACTGCTGGGCTGATCTGCCAATCAGGATAATAGGGGGACATGAAGTTCATCTCTCTGAAACCATCTCAGGTTGCTGGAATGCTCAGACAGAGGCCACTGCATGGCTCATGCTCAGTCCACAGTTGGATGCTATCTCTGGAGCTAGAAACATTTATTGCTATAGCTTGACTTAGGACATCTGCATCACTGGCTTCCACTTACAAAGCTACACTCAGCCAGTTGTCATAGAGGTCAAAGGTCATCAGGGGCTGGGGCAACTCTCGCAAGTAGGATTTCAGTGCACCTGAGAGGAAGCAAATTGATGCGCTTTAGAAAAAAGGTACTCTGCTCCACCCACTGCATCCAGCTGGTGCCACAGCTGGTCCCCAGCACCCCTGCCCTCTCCAGAACCTCCAGTACAGACCAGCAACAGCATGTGGGTCTGAGTAGAATTCCTCTAGGGCACTGGAGTCATTGGCCAGGCTGCACTTCAGCTTCCTTAGCATGGAGGCTCCTGCTGCCAACCTGAAGAGTCCCTAGAAGGAAGAGAGAGGAGAGAGAAGTTACAGGAGGATGGACTGGGATTTGCATGGATGGGCAGAGGTGGGGCAGCAAGTGGCACCTACCTCCTCCCTCATGCCAGATGCCAGCAGCATCATGACACAGGCTTCAATGGGGAGCGCGATCTCCCGACCCAAACTCCTCAAGTGCTCCTCTAAGGGCTCCCCATAATACTTTGATACAGCGGTATTCAAAGGGATCGGGGGCTCTGGAAAAAGAGGTGAGAGATCAGGAGAGAATACAGGCTAAACTCTCACAGGGAAGTGGGTGAGGCAACATCTTTCTTCTATGAGTCCAAGCCCAAATGTTTAGGGTCAGTGGGCTGCATGTTTAGACAGCCAGGTAGTGACTGAATGAGCTGAGAGCTGTCAGCCTCTTTCCTCACAGGACAGGGGACCACATCATAACGCCCCTGTCACCACAACCCGCTCTGTCTTGCCAGCAGTTACAGCAAAGGGGCTGAGCCCCCATCTCACTCCTAGCTTTGGCCTTTCTAGGTGAGGCTTGGGCTACATTGGCAGGGGGCAATCCACATGCAAATCTCACCTGCCTGCTCCTTGCACTGTATCTACGTTGTTCACCAAAGCCCAGCTTCAAGGTGATGGAGAGACCCATAAGAAGCAGTGAAGAAACCCATCCCTTTTTGGTTACACCCCCTGGGCAGTCAGCTGGACTTCCACCCTCCATTCCACCCAAATCAATGTGGACAGCTCTGCTTTTACCTGTCTGACCGTGGGTTTCCCTCAGCTCTGTCAAGGCAGCGTCCAGTGATGCAAGAGACGTCTGGTGGTACTGAGCTTGGATTTCTAGCAGCTGTCAGAGCAGATGACATGCAAACACAGCTTTACCCTGCAGAGCATCTCCCACAGAAACCCTGGCTCCAAGAGATGTCACTGAGAATGATGCTTTCAGACAAGATGTGAAAGGAAAGCAGAGTGGGAGGTGACAGAGAGATACAGAGGACCTTTCCTAAAGAGGTGGGATGACGGAGGGTGGGGATGGACAAGGATATAAAGATGAGGCCAGTACCACATAGCAAACCCAAGAGATTTTTATGCAATAGGAAGGAACTGAGGAAGGGACCTGCATGGAACAGAGAGGCTTACTTTGATGAAGTAGTTAGCGTAGTTGTCCTCCTTGGTGGAGAAGTGATATAGGTCAGCCATGTACTCATCCTGGGGAAAGAAAGGCAGTAGATGTCAACCTTCATCCTCATCACTCCCAAAAAGGAAGACAATGCTTCTGTGGGGGCACCTACAGCAGCCCTCATTAATGCCACGGCTCACACATAAAGGGTGCTCCTACAGCCAGGTCATAAGAACTGCCATATGGAGTCAGACTAAAGGTCCATCCAGCCCAGTATCTTGTCCTAACAGTGACCACTAGCAGATGCTTTAAAGAGCATAATAAACAAGGCATCTTTAGAGTGATCCATCCCTTGTCAGACCCTCTTCGTCACCAGCAGTAGGTTACATTTATCTAGTCCCTATTCTACAGACCTCCACTACCTCCTGTGACACCAAGTTCCACAAGTTAACTAAGTGTTATGTAAGAAAAAAAAAGTACATTTTGTTTGTTTTAAGCCTGCTGCTTGATCATTTCATTGGAGAGCCCTTAGTTTTTGTGTTATGAGATGTGACAAATAATACTTCCCTCTCTATTTTTTATAGGCCGCTCACAATCCCAGGCCTCTGTCATATCCCTCCTCTCATTCAAGCTGAAGAGCCCCAGCTTTTCCAGCCTCTCCTTGAATAGAATATGTTCCATAATCTGTGCCTAGAAGACAGGACTGTATCAAGAGAAAGACAGCAAATGAAGCAAACTGGGAGACAGACCTGTTAAAAGTTTCTGTGTAAATTAAAAGAGGAAAGAGCAGCAAGGGTGATATCACGTTGGGTGTCTACTAAGACCAAATCAAGAGGATGAGGTAACCTCCAAATAAATAACGGAATGATCCAAATCAGGCCCTAGTGCAGTGGTTCTCAATGTTTTTAACTTGAGGCACCCCTTGTTAGACTTGAAGTACCCCTTGGAAAATGCTAATTCATCGTTTTTCACTCATTTTTTTTTTTTGAGTGCAGAAAAATAATAGAGCAGTTTTTCTGTTGCAAAGAACTTAGAAAGCCCACAACAGGTCAGAATATTTTAGACACTATGAATTCCTATTCTAAATCTGTGTGTTCATCTTGTGAATATGTTTGCACACCTACACAGGGCCAACATGACATGGCACCCCAGGGAAGCTTTGAAAGTGTCTCATGGCACTGTAGGTTGTGCTGCTGGCCCCTGGTTGAAAATCACTGCCCTAGTGCTCATGGGAGATTTAATTACCCTGATATCTGCTGTGATGGCAATACACCAGTGCACAGACATTCCCAACAAGTGTTTGTACTGTGTTGCAAACAATTTTTTGGTACAGGTGGAGGAGAAACCAACTAGGGGAGAAGCTCTTCTCAATATGCTGCTTACTTAGAGGCAAGAACTGGTTAAGAAGCTGAAGGTAGAAGGCAACTGCGTGCGACAGGAATCATGAATTAACATAGTGCATGATCCTGAGGGGAAGGAAGAAGTATAATAAAAACATTGGACTTGAGAAAAGCAGACTTTGATAAGCCCAGGGAAATAGTAGGCAGAATCCCATGAGAGGCAAGTGTGAGGGGAAAAGGAGTCCAGCCGAGCTGGTTATACCTTAAAGAGACAACATTAAAGGCACAAGAGCAGGCTATCTTGCTATGAACATAAGATAAAAGTGCAGCAAGAGACTGGCTTGGTTAAATTCTGGAGTGGAGAAGCTTGAGAGAGTCCAGAGAAGAGCCACGCGCATGATCAGAGCTCAGGGAAGCAGACCCTACGATGACAGGCTGAGAGCCCTAGGGCTCTTTAGCCTGAAAAAGCGCAGGCTCCGGGGTGATCTGATGGCCACCTACAAGTTTATCAGGGGTGACCACCAGCATCTGGGGGAACGTTTGTTCACCAGAGCGCCCCAAGGGATGACGAGGTCGAATGGTCACAAACTACTTCAAGATCGTTTCAGGCTGGACATAAGGAAGAACTTCTTTACTGTCCGAGCCCCCAAGGTCTGGAACAGCCTGCCACCGGAGGTGGTTCAAGCGCCTTCATTGAACACCTTCAAGATGAAACTGGATGCTTATCTTGCTGGGATCCTATGACCCCAGCTGACTTCCTGCCCTTTGGGCGGGGGGCTGGACTCGATGATCTTCCGAGGTCCCTTCCAGCCCTGATGTCTATGAATCTATGAAATTATGAGCTCTTCAGTTGCCTAAAACTTAAAAAAAAAACCTCTGAAAAAGTGGAAACTTGGCCACAGTACTAAAGATGATACGAGTATAGTACAGGCACAGTACTAAAGATGATATGAGTATAGTACAGGCACGTGTGGAAAAAATCAGGAAGGCCAAAGTGGCCCAAATTGAGGGTCAGCCAGAAAAGGATATAAAAGCCAACAAAAAGCACTATATCAGTAAGTTTGAAGAAAGAGGAAGACCATGGAAAATGGAGGTCCCTTGCTGAAGGGGGAAGGGAAACCGATGTGGCTGAAGGCTGAAGTGTTTAATGTCTTTTTACTTCAATCTTCATAAAAAGATGTCAAGCAGAGTTAGCAGCAAGGGTTAATCATCCTTCAGTAGGAAAATAACAGATTAGAGGTTAGTTTGAGCTTACTTAGACAAGCTGGATGTTTTAAATAAGCAAGGCCAGATGAGATTCACCCTAGAGTGCTCAAGGAATTGACTGGGGTAATTGCACAAACACTGGCTATAGTCTGTGAGAGCTTACAGACATCAGGTAAGGTCCCTCCAAACTGAAAAAGGGGAAATATAGTGAAAAAGGGGATGGTGGGGAGAGGGGAAGAGAACCCAGGGAATTACAGATGAGACCAGCCAATGTAATATTAAATACCAGAAAAGTTACTGGAACATATCAAAGAATCTATTTCTAAGCAGAACTAGATAAGGATAAGAAAAAGTGATAAGGAGCAGCCAGTATAATGGGTTTGCCAAGAGCAAAGGATAAGTTGCTTCTTTTATAAGTGGATGGCCTTTGTGTATGGAGGGGAAGTTGTGAATGTGACATGATTTGATTTTATCCAGGCTTTTGACCCTGTCTCTTATACTCTCCTAAGTAAGGGAAGGAAGTCTTGTCTAGATGAAACTACTACAAGGTGGGTTCAATAACTATGTCTCAGTGTCTAACTGGGAGGAGGTATCAAGTGGGGTCCCTCCCAGGGGTTGGTTCTAGTTTCAGTATTGTTTAATATCTTCATTAATGATTTGAAGGGTGGAACCAAGTGTATACTTCATAAATCTGCAGATGATGCTAAGTTTGGTGGGGTGGCAGTCACTTTGGAGGACAGCATTAAAATTCAAAACAACCTTGATAAACTGGAAAAATGATTTGAAATAAATCAGTTGAAATTCAATAAAGACAAATGCAAAATACTATATTTAGGACAGAATGACCAAAGAACAGATACAAATTGAATGGCTTGGCTAGGCTACAGTACTACAGATGTTGACTGGGAGTTACAGTGGACCAAAAACTGAATGAGTCAACAGTGCAATACCATTGAAAAAACTGAATAATACATTGGGATGCATTAGCAGGAGCGTTGCTTACAAGGCAAGGAAAGTGATTATTCTACTCTATTCAACACCGGTGAGACCTCACTTGAATACTATGTCCTGCTTTTGGACACTGTACTTCAAAAAAGGCATAGAAAAAGTGAAAAGGACCCAGAAAGGAACAAAAATTATTAGAGATTTAGAAAACATGATGCGAGAGGACAGGTTGGAAGAACTGGGAATATTTAGTTTATGGAAAAAAAACTGAAAGGAACTATGGATAAGTCTTTAAATACAAAAATGGGGATTATTTAGATGATGGCAATCAATTGCTCTCTGTGTTCACAGGAGACAACACAAAGTAATGGGCTTAAATTACAACAAGAGAAACTTAGGCTGGATACTAAGGAAAAATTTCTAACCATGAGGGTGTAATTTAAACACCAGAACAGCCTAAAGTGGTTGCAGAATCTCCATCACTAGAAGTTTTTAAGTGCAGGTTAGACAAACATCTGCCTGGGATGGTTTAGGTGGGCATGTTCCTACCTTGAATAGGGGCTGGATTATATAACCTCTTGAGGTCCCTTCTATTTTTCCTTGGTTCTATACATCTCTCTGTGGCAGTCACTCCAGAGATCTTACTAGTGAGCAAGGCTTTCACTGGTTGGGCTGCTTAAAGACCAATGTTTTCACTCCAGATAGAGCTCTTCATGGAGTGGTTGGCTTCTGAGAACTCCCGGCACACAATAGCTGAGGATAAATGTGACCCTGGCCCTGGAGACCTTTCTCCATTTTTGGCTCATCTTGTCTTTCCCCAAACTGAGGAGGGAGGCTGCCCACTCACTTTGCATTGCTCCACCCTCCTCTTCACCTCCTCTTCTTCCTCCCTCAGGTTCTCCAGTTTGATGGCTGCAGATGATGCTCCAGGGCCAGTAGCAACCCCAGCACTGTTACTGGAGTTCTTGACAGCTTGATTCAACCTTTGGGTTACAAAAGAAGAGTCTGATTAACTACCTGGGTTAACATGAGCAGAGGAGGGCTGCCAGGGTGTTCAGGGGCATGGAGAGTCTGTCTTATGACAGGAGACTGGAAGAACATGGCTTGGTTTGTTTGGGAACAAGGGCTGAGCAGGGTTATGATTGCTGCCTATAACTGCATCAGGGAGCACTGTCCTTCAGCCTAAGGTCAAAGCTGGCACAAGAGCCAAGGGGTATGAACTGGCCATGAATGCATTTAAGCTGGAAATTAGAAAGATATTTCTAACCACCAGAGAAGAGATGTGCTGGAACAGCCTCCCAATAGGAGCAGGGGAGTCCAACAGGCCCGCTGCTTCTAAGGTGGAGCTGCATTCGCTTATGAAGGGATAACACAATGACATAGCATCCACAATATCAGGGGCCTGGACTCAATGACGCAGGGAGTGCACTCAAGCCCATGGTTCCTATTTAAAATGAAGGGCACCAGCCCCTTAAATGAAAGCATGAAACATCCCTCCCTGTCCCTTGTCCAAGTCAGGAACAGAGTGCAAAGAATACTGGGAAACACGTGATCCCAGGAGCCACAAAGCTTGGGATGCTTTTAGCAGAGCAGTTGTTTGTGGGCTCTACTTTGCACTCCTGCTCCATACAAGGAATTGGTCATTCAGAGCTAGGAAGAGTGTGAGCACAGACAGTGTCAGCACTACCCTGGGACCAGGCCCTGCACTGGGGGGATGTGGGCCAACAGGCAAGTTGACCAACACACAGTCTTCATGTTAACAGTTATTGCTTACTGTGTTGCCCTCAGCCTCTGCCTGTTTTGCCTGTATAGTTGATTTGAGGGTGCCTTTACCACAAAGAGCCTGCATGAATGACTGGAGCATTCTTGCCTGCAAGTGACTTAACCAATCTCAGCTTTCAGGGAGAAGCTCCCTCCTCTGCCCTGCACCTGTCAGTGCCCATTCTTAGGGGGCAATCATCTGGATCTCAAAGTACATCATCCTACTATCTGGCTGCAGCAGTTCCTCCCTCTCCACTCCCACTGTCTGCCCTTCCTTGGTACCTGCTCTTGATGGAGTTCCAGTCTGAGATCAGCTTCTGAAGGGTCTTCTTGCGTTTCAGGATAACAGGCAGTTCCTCCTGGGAGAGATTGGGGTGAGATTTAATCACAGATCCTGCCTGTGGGCCTAGAACAGCTGTTTATGCTACATGAAGCAAGGTGGGAGGGAGAGAGCAGTTCCAGAGAGGATGAGCAGGCAGGGGAGATGGAATGAGTGAGAAAGGGTGGAAACACAAAGATAAGATAGGGAGTGAAGGAGAGAGGCCAGGGCTACCTCACTCAGTTTGTTCAGGGGCTGTAGGACCTCTCTCTCCAAGGCGATTTCAAACTCAGCCAGGACTTTGGCCAGATTGCTCTGTATGAAACAACTCATCTCTAGAGCTTTCCTGCAGGGATGGAGGGGAGAGAGAATCACTGCAGGCCTAAGCGACCTCTCCCCTACACCCATGTCCCCACTTCCAGGGGTACTTCACTGGGGAGGCAGACAGCGATGATCTCTAAAGTAGTTCTCAGCTCCTGCTGCACTTGGAGGTCCTGAACACAAATCCTAACACTGGTGCTGGGGGAGCTGGGTGGATGACCCCTGTCACCAGCATGTTGGCAGGTAGATTCTGGCAGCAGGCACCCCAGGATTGGGGCCGCGGAGGGTACATGATTTGGGTTCTATGGAGAGCCCTGTTTCAGGGCTCCTTAGCTCCTCTCCTCCAAGCACTTACCCCATGCTGGAATCAGTGTCTAGTTCTTTGAAGCTCTCAGCCATTGTGATGGACAGAGCCATCAGAGGCAGCTTCTTCTGCACAGAGCCAAGGAAAAAGAGAAGAGAGGGAGACAATGAGTAGACTTGTCCGGGCTTGAAGACCTGGATTTGAATTCCAATTCCGGCATGGGCAGGGAAAGCCATAGGATGGGCAGGGAGACACTTACCACCCGCTTGTCCACCTCTGAGCCACTCTGCCCCTGTAGACATGCCTGGAGCCTCTTGGACACATTGTGTGCTGCCTTCTTCGCCGGCTCAATTCTCTGCTCAATCTAGAGGGAAAGGGGAAGGACAGGATGTGGGCAAGACTGGGGGAATCCCTTCCCCTGCCAGCTGGAAACCCCTCCTCTCACTTCATTCTGGCCTAATCACAGGGACTCCTCCTTGACTTGCTGGGGTTGTCTAGCTGAGACAGTGGCTCTGCTTTAGGGGAACAGAACCTCCCCTTTCCCCAGCATGTAGGGACCTGGTGTAATGCCCTGTATCTGCTAACATCCCATCACATCCCCCTGTGGTCAACCCCTTGTGGTCATCTATTGTCTTTTTTGTGTATGTAGTTGGTTCCTCACGCAAACCACATGCCATAGTGTATCTGTAGGGGAGGGGGTTGAGCAAAGCAAATGGAAAGTGCCACCTCCCACCCCTGATTTGCTGTGGGAGGCACAGCCCTGTGCCCAGAAGTATATGTGGGGGGGACTGGGGCACCAAGAATGAACCCGTGGAGTTCATGCTGGATGGGCTGCTGCACCAGCATGCAACAAGCCCATTCCTCAGCTATAGCAGCCAAACTCACGCTGCTTCAGTAAGTGCTGTAGCTGTAGTAGCTGCTAGGGCAGATAAGATTCTGCTCCCCCTGCCCTCCTACTCCCCAGTGGTCAGTATATCCTGCCCCCTCAAGTTCTGAAATACCTTGCTACACCACCTCTGTCACCTACATTATGGTTGTAGCACACTTGTGTCATGGCCTCATTCTCGTCCTGACTGGTTTGGCCTGCATAGCCTGGATGTAGGTTCCTAAACATGGCTATAACACACTTACGGACAAAAGCAGGCCATGTGCTAATGTGATTAGAACATGCTGTAACTGAGTCCTCCAACACGACTGTTGCTGCGCCACAGACCTCAAAGCCTTGCTGGTATAGCACAGCCCACAAAAGAATGAGTGCCTGAGACCAGCTCTCTCCACTGAATGGGACCATGGTATAGTCAGCCAGAAACCCTCATCCCTGTGCCCTAGCTGTGGGGAAACTTAAGGTGCTTGTCCTAGGGCTATTGCCATTATACCCAGGCATCATTCCAGGATGCACAAAAACCCAGGCCAAGGCTGACCTAGGCATTAATGCTACACGAGCACATGGCCCGTCCCACATACATGCCTGTGCCTGTGTGTACAAGCTTGCGGGCCAAATCCACACCTTACCTGCAGCAAGTCATCCGTCAGAAGCTCAGTTGCTTCTTGGCTTCTGAGGAAGGAGTGGGAGAGACAGACATGTCAGCACAGGCGGAAGTATCAGCACATACTGCAACCTCTATTCTGCTGTCTCGGGAAAGCAGGCACTTGACTGCCCCCTCTCCTGTCTGCTCACAGGGATAGAGGGCAGAGGGTGGGTCCTGGATCATCACATCTAAAGCTCTCAGAAGGCTTTCAAGAGAAGCTTACAGGTGAAGAGGATGTGAGGAACATGAAAGGTGCCCTGCCTTTCAAGTTGTTCTCCTTATCACGTTCAGGGAGAGCAGATAGCACAGCAATAGCTCGGGCAGTGAAGGCCTGCTCCAGCACCTTCACAGATGAGCATAGGATGTAGGCCAGGGGTGGGCAAAATACGGCCCGGGGGCCGGATGTGGCCCGCCAGGCCATTCTATCCGGCCCACAGGGCCCCTAAAAAATTTAGAAAATTAATATTTATCTGCCCTGGGCTGCCTGTCATGCGGCCCTCGATGGCTTGCCAAAACTCAGTAAGTGGCCCTCTGCCCAAAATAACTGCCCGCCCCTGATTTAGCCCAAGATCTTCAGAAATGACCAGAGAGTCTGGGACCCACCTTAAGATGCCTTAATAATCCCGATTATCAGAAAGTGCCAAGCACCCACCCTCTGACAAGCAGGGGCATCTTAAATCAGAAAATGCCAGTTCTTCCAGCTCCAAAACATTTCATTCAAAGCATCTGGGGTTTGGCAACTCTCCCGAACCATTGGCGTTAGCTGGAGCCCCTGGGGAGCTGCCTGCAATAGCTCGGTGTGGCAGAGCTCAAGAATATCCATTTCATGGAGCAGCCACGGAGTGCCAGGAGTTTCCAGTTTGCTGGAAATTTTGAGATATTTTTGTTTCAGTCCAACTCAATTTAAACCAGAAGCAAATTTCAGGCAGAGAAAGTTCCCTAGGATTGGGATAGTCTCCTGTTTGGCTGTCTCTTGTCACTGGTCACTTGGAAAAAATCTTGGCCTTTGTATTGTGCACCTTCTCTTCCCACCAGGGCTGCAGCTTGAGCTGGCCCATTTCAGAGACTGTACCCAGACTGAATGCCATTGAAGAGGCGCAGCCACAGGCAGCTGGGGGTGGCAAGGCTTGAGGAAGGCCGAGTCAGATGGGATTACAAAGGAGGCCACAGAAAAGAGGCTCCGAAGTCAAGCAGTGCCATAGCCAGCTTGGCACAGGCAGAAGAGAGGCATTGAAGCTGATCCATACCTGTTGTCAGTCAAAAGTGTACCTGAGCAAAGCTGAGGCACACTGGGGGTGGCCTTGGCCATGGTGACAGATAGACACCTCTCTGGAGCTGTAGCAAGAGACCCTAAGTGCTCTCCTGCCTTGCACCAGCAAGCCTCCTGTATGAGGAGAAATCCAGGGGGGCTGTTGCTTTGAGGGAAAGGAAGGCGAGGCTATGGCAGTGTGAAAGTGGTGGTTGCCTGCCCTTGGGTGAACAAGGAGATACGTTTGGGCTGTTCTCAGCCTCCTGGCATGAAAGTGTGCATGTGTGTGCACATGCAAATGTGTGTGCACGTGTGGGTACGTGTGTGCAGAGAGCAAAAGAGAGCCGAGAAGGGGGGCCCAAAATTTAATTTCTGGTTTTTGCAAGGGGAGAGCTTTGGAAACTGGAACAATTTGGTGAAGAGGGGGAAAAAACCCAACAAACCAACACAGCAGAGACAGGACCAGAAAAACCCTCCGAGGGGGAAAGGGAAAGGAGCCTCCCTCAGACAGCCCCTCCTTTGTCACAGGCACTTCCCAAAAGCTAAAGGAAACAAGGGGAAGCTCCCTCCGCCTCTCACAGGGGATTCAACTTCTGCACGGGGCCTTCTCCAGCCCGGAAGCGAGAGTAGCAGTGGGAGTGGATGCTCCTTCATTCTTACTCCTCTTCCTGGGGGTCCCTCCCTCTCTCTTGCTGGTAGTTGGGGAACTTCTCTCTGCAGCACCCCATCCCTGCATCACAGCTGCTGCCTGCTCTTATCTCCCCACAGGAAGGATTAAGCTTCAGCAGGGCTTTCCCTTCACAGCCCATCCAGCCCAACGCTGCAAGCTACCCTGGTATGCTGCAATGGAAGATGAGGGCCTGGGTGCATCAGAGGGCAGCACCACATGTGCCGCAGCATCTCTGCTGATCGGGGTCCAGCAGGACAAGGGCAGCTGGGCGGCACTGCTCCATCCGCCCAGCTTCCTGAAGGACCATGGGAGCTGCTCATGGGTGATTTGGTGCATTTCCCGCCTTCCCCGGTCACCCCGTCTCCCCTGGGGCAGCACTGGTTCTAGGGCAGCTTTAGCAGGACCCCCAGGATCCCTGTCCCCAGCCCCCCACTATCCCCTCAGCCTGGCACGCCTCTGGCCCACAACCTCCGGGAGGCTAGGACTTTGCACAATGCTCTCCTGCACGGCGTCTTGGCCTTCCCTCTGCCCAGAGCCCGAGAGCTGGCAGGACATCGCCACTTTTGGGAGAGAGCGCGAAACTGGGTCCTTACCGTCCCACGAGGCCAGGATAGGTGAGCTGCTGCCGCATCCGGTGAAACTGCCTCTTCATCATCTTGGGAGACGGGAACGGGGCTGTGCCACCACAGCCACTGCTGCGACTGCGGCCACGCTCAGCGCCTCCCGCTTAGCACCCACCAGCTGCGCTTGGCGTCATCAGAGATGGGGGCTCCCCTGCCTCTTCCTCTGCTAGACTCCACTTCCCCTCACGCGCAACTTTTCTCTCTCCTTCCCTCTGGTCTCTCCCCACCCTGTTTTCTCTCCTTCCTTCTCTTGCCTCCTCGCTCAGGGCTTCAGGCTCCCGCCCTCTCCCCTCTTCCGTTTCCCGCACCCTCCTCTTCTCAGAGGCGTCCTGCTCCTTCTCCTCCTCTGTTGCCTCCTCTCTGTTCGTCTCTCTCTATTTCCTTCCTTATCTGGCTCCCCCCCACGCCCTTGTACTGATCAGGTAAGAGCAGTCAGGGCTCTTGCTGCTGCTCTCTGGTTGTCACCACCCCACAATATAAATAACTTCAGCCAAGCCTTAAAGGGGAAATATTATTACAAGCACCTAACAAGGCAGAACAAGCACATGCCGCTGCTGCATCAGAAGAAAGAGCCCACGCTACCCTTCGCTTGCAGCTGGGGTGTCCCCAGCCTGTCTCACACAGCTGCCTGGGGACTCCGGGCAGCGAGAGGCCAAGCCACAGTGCTGGTAGAGCGGTTTTGCAACTGCTCTACCCCAGCCCCTTGGCCATGCCCTGCTGCCAGTGTCTCTTGCTAGTCCCAGCCTGGCCCCACAGTTCTGCCAGTGCTCCCTTCTGCTATTCCAGTCTTGCCTGCTCAGTCCCTCAGGCCTGCCAATACCGCTCAACAGCGATCAGCAGCATTCCCCGGCTCTTTGCCCTTCACTCCCCGCTCTGCAGCCCCTCTGCTAAGCCAAAAGTTGTCCTTTCCTGTGTTTGTACAGCACCTAGCACAGCAGGCTCCCAGGCCCCAGCTTGGCCAGCCTCAAGGCCCTCTTGGAACAGCTCTAGCAGTGCTCCTCACTCTTCATCTGCAACCTCGCCAGCTAGCCCAGCCCTGAGATTGTTCCCTTCTAATTGCAGCTGCTTTGCTTTGTCAGCACAGAGCCCCTGGTGTGCACCTGCAGGATGGTGAGAGCAGTGGAGCAAGGGAAGCCCACTTCCTGTGGGGCTACGTGTGACCCTGTAGGTAGGGAGCTGGCAGCTTTGGTTGCTTACATTGGGGTAAAGCGCAGAGCAACACCTACATGCAGCTGCCTGAAGCTCAGCTGTAGCAAGGGACCACAGAGCTGCCTGCACTACGTTTCCAGGCATAGCAGGCTGCCTAGTGCCGAGCTCTGCGACTGCTCTCAGTGCCTTCCTGCCTGCAGAACCCAAGCTTGCAGGGACACAGGGCAGCTGAAGCCCTGCTCTACAAACCAGATCTTACCAGCTATAGGGTGTCAGATCTGTCAGACTGGGGTTCTCTCTTTCTTAGCTGCAAAGAACCAAATATTGCCTCCCCCCAACCCCTGCCAAACGCACCCAAATTTAGCCTTTTCTGGCATTCTAGTAGCGAAGGGAGGTGCTGTGGCTAGGTTGCAGGGTGAGCGGGGGAACTAGCACAAAAGCCAAGACGGGAAGTGGTCAGCACTTGTGTGTGCTAAGCAGCATGCTCGCTGCAATGGTAAGCAAGAGGGCAGGGAAAACTGGCCTATATGCCTCAGCTCCCCCCAATACACACCAGCACACTAAAAAAACCCCAAACTATTTCATACCACTGCTTCTCAGCCCCATGTGGTCTCTTGAGCTCTCAAGGCAGGAGAAAGGGCATCAACCCCATTTTCCAGGCAGGGACAGAAGCTACCTGGGATGACTGTAGGGGGTTGGGATCATAACTCAGGTCTCCCCACATGCAAACCAGCATCCTGCCCCTGGGACCATGCATGGCCCCCAGGCCTAGAACTGGGCTTACTTAAAGCCTACAGCCAATGATAATGGCCAAGGATGCCGAGCTCTGCAGACTCCAGGGTCACATACTGTAGCCAGGACCTTAGTGTTGGAGGACTCCTTGCAAAGCCTGCCCTGAGTTTACCTACCTCTGTAAAAGAAAGAGCTGAGCCAGCCTGGCTGGGTCCATCCAAACCCAGAGCTCCAGGCTGGGCATTTCCAAGATGAGGATTGGATCCTCAGCTAGCCTTCCCCACCTGCTGAGCTGAGGTTTCCTTTTCTCTCAAACAGGGGGTCAGTGCAGAGCTGCATGGTACCATCCTGACTGCCCTTTCATGAGCTCTCAGACAGAATCCACATGAAGGAAACCCAGAGCGCAATCAGACACCTCCAGATTCAGTGCCTCCCAGGAACCATACAGAGCAAGGGGAGAAGAGCAGAGGGCAGTAGAAAGGAAGTACGCAGTAAATGCAAGCTGGTCCCAGAACCCGTTTAACACAACCATATCTTACTGTCACTCCCAGCCTAGGAGCAGGACTCCAAATAATTTACAGCATTGGCTTGGGAGGGGGGATTTGGATATTTTTTTTAATAGGAGTTTCTAGCAGCAGACAGACCTTACACCAACTCCAACTCGTCTTGCAAGGAAAACCAGGGCTGTTCTCACTGCTGAAAGTGACCCATTCAACCCCTGCATCCCACAGCTTGCTCTATCCAAAATAGTTCTTCCTCCCCAGGACCAAGCCCAGCCCCAGCCAGCACATAGGGCCTTGCAGCACAGCAAGTCAGGGGAATGAATTCTGGCAGTGAGTGCAGAGGTTCCATAGAAAGCCCCAAAGGAAGAAGTTGGCACAGAAGCATGCATGTAGCAGAGCTACCTGGTTGCAAACAGTGTGTGCACCATATGGATGGGAGCAGGGAAGAGAGGCCTCAGCCTTCATGTCTGGCCCCTACAGCAGAAGCACAAAGCCATCCTTCCCCTGCAGCAATGCCTGGCCCTGGCTCCTGCTGCACTCCCCCTCCATTGCAGGAGGTAGTTAACACCCTGCTAACAGCCTGGGAGTGACTAACACACCGAAACAGGAATTGAGCAGACACTGGGGGACTTCCAGGCCCAGGCCAGTGGAATGCAAGTCACAGCAGTACAGAGAGCCTTGAGACTTTGGCTTCTGATGTGCTGGTGCTCTGCTCCATCTTGGCTGTGAATGGAGTGCAGGAAGGGGCCCAAGCTTCACAGGCTGAGGTAACACCTACTTGAATGAGACAGGGCAAGTTTGGGTCTGTGGGCAAGACTGTCACACATACACAAAGCAGCTGGAAGGCAGGATCCAGCCCTTTGCCTTCCAATAAGGGTTCTGTGCCTCTGGATCAGTTTACAGGTCATGGGACCATCTCCCTCATACTAGCACCACTTCCTCTTTGGACTTAAATGTGCTAAGACAACCCCCCCACCTCCATCCAGAAGGAGATGGAAATGTCTCCTCAGCACCAACAAGGGGCAACAGCAGGGGGGAAAAAAGAGGCAGCAGGGACACTCCCAAACAGAGGAGTTCCCAGACATACTCTGTCCAGACAGGCTCTCACTCAGGCAGAGGCATGAGGAAAGAACTCTTTATTTCCCATAAATACAGCAGATTTCGCACCGGGCGGTTTTCTTTAAATCCTTTTCCATTTATAGAATTTGCACTGAAAATATATACAAGTCAGTTCAAGAACCAAGCAAGATCTGCAAAGAAAATCCATACAAAACCCTGAAAGAGACCAAAAAAGAAAATAAGACACAGCAGAGGCCCAGCTCAGGGACCTTCCCTCCAAACATGGGGTTCAGAGACTTCCCCCAGGGCAGAGCACAATGGCACCAGCTGGTCTCTGTACCATCCAGGCAAGGCCTCCATCCATGCTCTCTTTCTCCAAGCCCTTTCTAGGGAGAAAGTGTTTCCTCATGATTCAAACCACTGTACTCAGATGCAGCCGTCCTAGAGTTCAGAGCCCAGGAAGTTCCTGGGCAGGGGAAGAGGCATCGCTATAGCCTGCAAGCTGGTCAGCAATGTAGTGATAGTGAAAGGTACAGCTTTGCAGTTGGGCTGTCAATGCCCTTATTGTACCAGCATTATGTTCCAGCAGATACCAGTTTTGTGTCACAGTGATTGAGCTGCTGGAGTCCCCAAAGCTGGGAGAAAAGCCTGGAATCTGTACCAGGAACAGTGCCATCTGCCTCCAAGAAAGCCCTGGAGGAGCTGGGGCCCCTTATCAGTAAGCAACCCCAAGCCAGTTCTGTACAGACCAGCATAGAGAAATGCCCACCCCCTACTCCCAGTACAATAAAAATAGGGATCCTAAGGAAGCAGGATCCCCCTTCTCATTGCTCAGGTGCTCCTCCTGGTGGTGACCTCAGTAAGAGACGGTCTCATCTACTGGCCCTTTGGTTCACCTGGATGGGGACAATGAAGTGAAAGAACCAAGAAAACCCCAAAACAGAAGTTCAGTTAGTGGGCTGAGTGCGTGAACTCCTTTTCACATCAGGGTCCTGCAAGGGGTGGGGAGGGAAGGCTGGAGCAGCACAATCCTCCTCCAAGGGTTACAAAAGGCCACATGTCCCTTACCTAAATCTGTGCCTGGCAGGCCCCAGCCAGGCCTTCTCACAGAAGGCATCTTGGCCCATGGACACAGGGCTTGCTATGGATCCCCACTGCTTGTGGCCGCAGGACAGACCTTTCCTCAATTCGGTGTCAGGATCCAGGTCCCAGCCTACAGGTCACTAAGCTGAACACTAAACCACCACACTGGTCCTCTGGCTCTTCACTACCCACCCCCAAACAGCTTTGGCCATGAATCAGAGCAAAGAAACCCAGCAGACCTCTGCTGCCCCAAGAATGGATGCCTACTTTTCAGCAAAGCAGGTCAGTATCCCCAGCTTCACCCAGGCCCTGTTCAGCCTTGATCTGTGCCCGCTTCTCAGCATGTCACAGGCATAGAATCATGACAGGAACCAGAGTAGAAGATTAGGGCACAGCTGCAGGAGGGAGCTCCTTAAGCTGTGGACCAGGTGAGTTAGTTTGCTGGCAACCAGGGAGCAGGAAGCAGCTCAGGGGAGGGAGCGATGCAAAGACCCTATGCACCCACACCAAGAAAAGAGAGTAGGTCCTTGGCTGTGTGGTCAGGCTGGGGCTTGCTGCACTACCCTGTGCTGATTCCAGCTCCACTCCTGCAGAAAAGGAAGCAGGGTTAGGACAGGAACAGGCTGGAGAGGCAGAGCAGCTTTGCGTCACCTCCCTTTGGCTCCGAGACCTCCCACCATCCTTCATGTGCTCTCCGGCCCCAGCCCTTCACTATCCAGTGCCAGAGCAGGAGAGCAGCAGCATCAGCTGAATACCAGCCCCAGATGAGGCCCCTGCCATCCTGAGGGAAACTGGAGCAGGGCACCAAAGAGCCACCAGGATTCAGAAGCAGCCCACAGGCTGTAGGACCTAGAGGTTCCCCCAGGACTCTGGAGGGGGGAACTGGTCCACATCCCCCATCTCGTTGTAAGTCTGCTCCCCCATGGTGAAGGTCAACTTGTATCGTAGCCTCACTTTCTCCTGGGAAGGAAAGAGACAGGAAATGTGGTCAAGAGGTGTGCCTAAGACCATAGTTTATGAGAGCAGAGGACTCCCCATCCCTGAGGCACAGGGTGGTAGGGAGAGTGGGAGCAAGCATGAGGAAAGGAAAGAGAACAGCCTGAGTATCATTGGCAGGGTCAGCCACAGGGAAGGCCTGTGTGCGGCAGGGAGGCACTATTACCTTCTGTGGGTTCGCAAGCAACAGGACTTGGGTGATGGCAGTTGGGTGGACGATGGGGTTAAATGCTGGGAGCTCTGTCCCTGAGGGAGGCTGCAGCTTGACTTTCATCACCTGTGGGATCATGAGATCTCTCAAGTAGCAGCAAGTAGTTTTGTGCCCCTATGAGAGGCAGGTACCCTCCTCCTTCTAGCTCTTGCATGGGATCCTGCTCTCTCCTCCCCTCAGGAAGATGCCCTGGCTCCCCAGAGGGCACTCAGCCACTTGGCTATGGAAGAGCCAAGAGGTGGTTCTTGTTGTCCCACTGATCTTGGACTCCCCAGAGGAGAGGAACAACACATCCCACCCCCACATTCTACAGAACCGAGGTGAAATGACTTGCCCACAGACACTCAGCAGAGGTTAGTGGCAGAGCTGGGAACAGGACCCAGGCCTCCTGCCCTCCCTCTCCCCAAGCCTGTAGCATTCTTCTATAGCCCCGAGCAGTTATTTTCAACCAGGGGGTTGTGAGGCACGAGGAGATAAAGTACAAACTCAGTCTTGCCCCTGCCTGGCCCCCCACCCCGTTCTTCCTCTTTTCAAAGGCGCACACACTGTAATATATGCATTACTTCTGAAATTACATGCCACTCAACTCACAAAAGTTATGGAGGGGTGCCAAGTCCAAAAGGTTGAGTACCACTGTCCTAGAGTGTAGCTGTTAGTTGTGGGCATGTGGTAAGAGAAACAACCCTCCCAGGCTCCACTTGGACCTCTGCCTCTTCCCAATCCTATCTGCCCCAGAACTGCTGGCCAACAAGATCCCTTGGTACTGGGGAGGGCCCTTACCTTGGGGACAGCTGACTGAAAGACAATGTTGCAGATAGGGAGCGGGGCTGTGCTGAGCATGGAGATCACCACCACCAGCACGTCAGGCCGCTCGGGCAGGGAGTCTCGGGCGAAGTGGAAGAGGACACGGAAGCCATGCTGGTCATAGACAGTGACGGGGAGGATGCTGCCTGCACAGTGGCGGGGGAAGCAGAGTCAGTAGGATCAGAGAAAGAAACCCTCAACTGGAGCTTCCACCCAGATGAGGGGGTGGAAGAACCCACTCCCTGATGCCAGTGATGAGGAGAAATCTTCTGGACCCTTCTCCAGGCACTCACTTGGCTTGATTGACTCCAGAGGCACTGTGATATTAGCTAGTGAGATCTCCTGGGGTGACATAGCAGCAGGGGGCCCCACCAGGGCAGCAGCAGGGACAGCTCCAGTTGGCATGGGAGCAGTTGTTGGGAGCGAGGTGGAGGGAGGCTGCTCCGAGGGAGAGGGCTGGGTAGTGGTAGGGTTCAGGGAGATTTTGCCAAGCAGGGCTGGGGTACCCGTGATCTTCACTGAGGCACCAGAGCTGCTCTTGTTCTGGAGATCCCGCAAGGTGAGCCGTGGGGGTGGCTGCTTCTCCCTGGGGACAGAAGGGAAGAGGCTGTAGGAACAAGTGTGCCAGACAGGGCTCAGGAAGGGTGGGAGGAATCTCACCCAGAAATTCTTCCAGGTGGAGTAGGCACACAAGACCCTTTTTTGTCCCTACAGCATCTTACCACCGGACTTGCTGAGACTCTGGAGGCAGTGACTGTTGTAACAGAGTTTTCCCCAGCAGGTCCAGGTCATCCAGGCCACTGGTGGCAGAGGAAGACTTTCGTGCAGGAGCTCCCGCATCTGCTTGGGTTGCTGAAGCAGCTGTGTTGGAGGGGATGCCAAGCTCACTGCTGTCTGATGACTGCAAGGATGACGAGAGGGCAGGCTGCATCACCACGGGGCTGGACCTAATGGCTGAGCCCTGCTGTCTCCAGGGCACTGACCTCATCACCCCATGCAACCATGAACTCTGGGTATGTCCTCCCCCAAGCCCAGACAGTGATGAGACCTCCCCCACCTGCTCACTGCTCCAAACCCCTTACCTGAAAACTGTTCCAGCCACTGCTGCCCATGCCCTGTGCAGAGGGGAGTGGTGGGTCATTCAGCCCTGGAGAGGAACAAGGGAAGAGGTCAGAAAAGGGCCTTGCTGGTAACTGGGGGAAAGGGTGTATTCACAAACAGCTTGACCAGGGCAGGGAGATAAGGGGCAGGAGATTCAGGAAGGCTGTCCTTCAGAAGGAACACACTGATGCCACCAGACTTCTATAGTACCAAGATGAATATGAAGAAAAAAGCCGATTGAGCACATTTCAATGGCATAGAAGCCTGAGTTCCTGTTGAAGATGGTAAAGACACTGCCTATGATTTGTTCCATAGTAAAAGGGCCTTGCTGACAGAGAGGGTAGCACCTCTTGCTCTGGCTTCAGAAGCACAAGCTTGAGTCTTTCTCTGGCTGAAACAGCTCCAACTTGTCTCACTGTTCACCTGAGACCAAGATCTGGCAAGGGGCTTTCACAGCACTGTAATTTCTCCTTTGTGCCCCAAAAGCAGCTACCTCCTCTTGGGTTTCTCTTCATGAGGGGCCTGCTGGGCCATGGGAAGGAAGGCATTTAGGGCATCTTGCTGCAGATTCAGAGATGGGCATTTGAGCCTTGTTTTGAAGTCACACTGAAGGCCACGCCCGCATGACCCAGCTTGAAGTAGGTATCAGGAGAGTCTGGAGGTAGCCAGACATGAGGGTAGCCACATTGCTCCCTTGTGTTTTGCTCCCTTGTGTTTTGCTGGCTGCAGACAGCTGTGCTATAGCCATGCTAGCCCAGTGAGCAGTTATGTTCAGAAGGACCTCTGACCTTATGTTGTGCATCCACCAGCAGACCACAGCATTTTATGGAAAGCTCCTTCTGCAGCAAGAGCACTGGTGCAACAAATACCATGTTCAACCACAGTAGTGGTGAATAAGATGCAAGGCTGGGACTGTCTTCCCTAATTAACTCTTCAGTCATTCCCACTTCTAGGGAAAAACAGTAGAACACTGCAGCTTTCCTCAGGCGCCTGAAGATTAAGACTCAGAAGTAAACTGAGGTCCACCCACCTGGCAGTGAGGAGCATTCCCTACTCCAGCCTTCATGCTCTCTGTCTGGCTTTCCAAGCTCCAGTCCACCCCACTGTAGGTTCTTCATAAGGTCTGTACTTTCCCAATTAGGCATCCCACCATGTTAATGAGTAGATGGCCAAACACTTTCTGTACCTCTCCCCTCACCTAAAGACATGAGCTCATCATCCAGCAGGGAGATGGAGCTGGCTTGGTCAGGCACAGGGACTCCAGTGCCACCTGAGAGAGTGGGTAAGGCTGGGTAGGAGGGGCCCGTCACCACCATGTCCAGCCCAGACAGGTCCAGGAGTGCAGAGGTGCTCCCTGTAGGCAGGAAGAAGTGGTGGTGGTAAATGAAAAGCTTCAAAACCCCTATCCACCCCCTTTCTTCCTCTGCTGGGAACTGTGTCCATCTCTAAGCCCCACCTGGGTCATGTGGTGATCATGACTTATCCTGACCTGGGGGTCACATAACCCCAGTGCCCATCTTTACTCTCCCATTCCAAAGCAGCAGGACAAAGCCTGTGCATAGAGAGAAGGGCTGGGTAATCTGCTAACCTCCTTCAGTACCAAGACTGCACACTTCTGCTTCTCTGTTCAGGGTCTCCTCACCTTGCAAGGGGCTGACTGCCGCTTCCCCTGTGGTATATCCCCCTTAGGTTCCCTCCCTCTGGAGGTCTCCTCACCTCGGAGGGGGCCAGCCACAGTCTCTCCGTTGATCTCCTCTCCTTTAACAAGCTGCTTGTACAGGTTGATCACCTGTGTCAAGTTGTCATTGGCTTGCAGGATTTCCGCTGAAAGAGGAGGTGTGGGGGGACATTGTAGACAGCAGAGAGGTGGGTGCCTACTGACTGTTCAGCCACAGGCCCTGGATCCCCTTCTTGTTCCTTGTAGAGTCTGGACACTACATGTTTACACTGGAGTAATCAATGTAAATTACACCAGAATACAGGAGTAGACAAACGAGCAGATAATCTCAGGGAACCTGCATGCAGTAGGCTGCTATTACAGTAGCAGAGGAGGAGGTAGCAGCCTGCATGCCTCAAGCAACAGTTAACCTAGGCTAGCTGTGGGCAGATGACATGTGGGTGTAGTTTTACCCCAATTAATTCCCCTCCCTTGAGAATTTCTACACTGAATTCAGGCAGATTACTCTGGGGTAGGGCTGCACAAGGCTCAGAGAGGGAAGCATATCAGACACACCAAAACTAGCAGCCAGCTGTTGCAAAGACATCTGTCACTGCAAGCTGATGTTCCAGGCATGTACACACTGCCTTCAGCATCTACTGTGTCCCTACCTGCCCCCTTCCTGCTGCACTTGCCGTGTTTTTCCCCCCCAACCCCATCATGAAACAAAGGGTACATGGCAGAATGCCTGCCACCTCCCAGCCACCACCAGCAGGTCAACCCTTGTGAACAGCAACCCACAGTCTGAGTGGGGCTGGGGTGCCATCTAGTGGCTGGAGAGCGATGCCAAGCTGGCCAAAGGGGAGAGGGAAGAAATGGGGGCCTCATTCGCTCGCAGCGCTGATACAGCTCCTGTGGGAAAGAAAGGGGGCTGAGGCAGACAACAATAAGAGGTGCTTGGCAGGTGATGGGGAAGCCTGAAAGCAAGCACCACCCTGCCACAGGCTGGGGGGGACTGAAGGCCCGGTTGTGAGGGAAAGAAGAGAAAGGACTCCTGGCACCACCCCCTCCTCACCTTCATGAGGTCCTCATTGCTTTCTGTTGTCTCCCCCTTGGTGTAGCTGGTCACCATCTCAGTCAGCAATTTCACGTTGTTGTTCACTTCCTCAATGGCATTCACCCTCTTGGAGATCTTCTCCATTCGCTTCTGGTCCTGAGGCACAACAAGCAGAAGTGGGCATAGGTGGGGTAAACTAGGAAGGGGGTCTGACCTTTCTTCCCCCTGTCCCTGCTGCAAGGCTAGGAAAACACAGTTAAGTCACCCACTTCAAATGGCATTTAGAGAGACTAGGCAAGTGTCACTGTCCCCAAAACAGCTCATCTGAATGGACTCTTCTCTCCTGAGACTGTCAAGCAACCAGCTGGGCCACAATGAGACCCAGCACCTGGCCGAGAGGCTAAGAATGCTCCAGCAGTTGGTGCCGCGGCCACTGTTGCATGCTCACCAGCACTGAGCTCCCAGACAATCAAGGAGAGAAGTCATTTCCAAGTCACCCTATCAGCCTCTTTGCCCTTCTACTGATGCAGCTGGAAGTGCCTTTATTTCCTGCCACAAGTGTGAGGTGTCAGGTCGATTGGTCACTGGCTCCATCCTATCCCACTACCTCTCAGCATGGTGTTCCAGGTTTCCCCACCATGCTACAACAGGGAGGCCTGGCCACTGAGCACACCACAGACAGTACCCCCTCCCAGCAATACTACATGAGGCAGTGGGCCCACCTCTTGGACCATCTCCTTGATGAGCTTGTTGGCAGCTCGGAGGTCCTCAGGGTGGGAGCTTTTCAGCAGGCGAGCCAGCATCTGCAAGAGATGGGGAGATATGGGGACTGGTCAAATGGGACTAATCCTAAAACACAGCCAGGTGGAACCATGGGTCAGTCCCAGAACAGTTCTCAAACTACTCCATTCATGCGGAATGAAGATTGGAAAGATTTCCAATAAAAATCACAACCCTCCCTCCCTGAGCACAAAGTGACTCAGACACAGAAGTGACTTCAAAACTGCCTGGCAAAGCCTGTGCCCATTTTTTGCTTCTTTCTGATGAACAATATTTCAATTTTTTTTTTTTTTTAAATCCCCACCCTAGCAAGGGGGGGGGGGGGGGTGTCTCCCATTAGAATTCAGCTTCATGCCAGGCACATTCCAGAGCTGAACAACCCTAGTACCCAGGCTGACAAAGACGTGCAAATGCTGGACTGGGGAGGGACTTTGAGGTCTGGCCTACTCATAGTTTTTGAAGTTAAAATAGTGCAACCTCTAGTATGTGGGTTTGACTGGACCCTATTCATAAAAAGAAAGTACAGCAAGTTAAAATGCGTGGCTGTACCACACAGCTACTCTGTGGTAACTCTGTGCACTCATCACAGTTTAGCTTTCCCCTACTGCAGAGAGAGAGAAGTCACATGGGCAGCAAGCAGAGGTTTCTGTGTGGTAACCCAGCTACAATGATGGCTGATGGCAAATGGCTCGAGAGATGCAAACCAGCTGGGCAATAAGAGGGTCATGGTGAGAAGGAAGAGGGTGTGAACTGAGCTGGAACCACTTTATGCCATGTGGCAAGAGGCTCCTGTGACACACAGTGATTAAGTGTCAGAGTTGCAGCAGCTGCTGGGCTAGTGACAAGGCTTTGCTGAGCTATGGTCATAAGCAGTGTCCTGTGACATGAAATTCCATGATACGCTTTCAGCCTCCAAGGGAAGCCTGCTAGATAGAACCTTTCTGCTGACTTTCTTTGGCTCAGGCCCTCCACGTATCCATTTTTCTTCTTGGTGAGGATAAGTACAGGGAAGAGATGACTCTGCTGTGTCATCCCTGCCTGGAGGTCCCAGAGAAGGCACAGGCTAAGAAGGCTTCATCCTGCTACTGAGCTCTTACCTTGGACTTCTCCTCATCATCAAAGATGATGTTTTTGGGCCGGGGTGGAGGTGGTGGGAAGGGAGCATCGTCTGGCAGCTTTGGGTCGCATTTCACAATGCCTGCAGGGGAGATGAGCACAGAGGTCACCATGTTCAAGGCCTTGCTTCACTGGAGCAAACAGATGGCTGCTTTCTGCTCCCCACTGCAGCCCTGCTTTGTTCCATGTGATGGCATCCCATCCCCTACAACCAGTCATATCTAACCACGGGCCAATTAAGGCTTGCAAGGGGCAGATCTTCCTCTTGCCTCCTTGTCCCCCCCAGTGACTCTCAGCCAGGTCCTCTGCAGCATCTCCACCACCTAATAGCAAGTCACTGTATGCCCAATGGCAACCTCTGTCCTCCACCTGGCCTTTTGGAGGCCAAGCTACCAAGGGTAAAGCAGGTGTCACCTCCTGCCACACTATTCCACCAGTTCAATATGCCAAGGACACCAGCCATTCTTGCTTGGATTTCCAAGGTAACCCTATTCAGTTTCTCCAGATTCTGAGCTGGGCAGCCTCCCTGAGAGGACCAGAAGCAGACAAACCTAGAATCCATTTGGCCTGTTTCCTTCACCACAGATGGCTGGAGAGAAGAAGGCTCTTGCCCCTGAAAGTGTGAGGCTCTCACCTTGCTTTTTCAGCATCTGGTAGGCCTCTGTAATCTTCACCTCGAGAGGCAACCCCAGCGTCCAGCTATACATCAGCTCCAGGATCTTTGACTTCACCTTCTCTGAAGTTCGGCTGCCAAGGTACTGAGGAGAGGGGGTGGAAAAAGAGGAAGAGGTGGTGAGCTGATTTGGAAGGAGGCAGGTTCATCACCTTGCACAGAGAAATGAACTGGCTTCCAACAGCATGGGAGAAGGGTAAAGGAAGTACAAGAACCCACATGGCTCCTTGCAACATGGCCCAACTACATTTGACTTCCAGCACACCAGAGGGTGGGTGGTGTACCAGAGCAGAGATCTTATGCTCAGATGGTAGCCAGGCAGCACCAGGCAGTGAGGGGCATGTCAGTGACACAGGGAAGGCCAGTCCAGACTCTGCATCCTTGGAAAGGAAGGGTGCATATTGCCAGGGGCATGGGCCTGGTCACTAACTGGCCCGGCTGAACACAGCA